TTTAGTTCATTGTGATGTATGGGGTCCTTTTTCAATACCTTCTCATTCTGGTCACAAATATTTTTTAACTATTGTTGATGACAATAGCAGATGCACATGGATTTATCCACTTACATACAAGTCTGACACTAAATCATCTCTCATTCATTTTTCAAACATGGTTCAAACTCAGTTCAACTCTAAGATCAAAACCATTAAAACTTATAATAGTACTGAGTTCATTTTATCTGATTTCTATTCTTATCATGGCATCATTCATCAAGTTTCATGTGTTGAAACACCTCACCAAAATGCTAGGGTGGAAAGAAAGCATCAACACCTTTTATAAGTTGATAGAGCATTACTTTTTCATGCCAACTTACCTATCATGTTGTGGATTGATTGCATTATGGTGGCTGCTCATATCATAGATAGAATCCCTTCACCTGTTTTACAAAACAAATCTCCTTATTCTGTTTTATATAATAGGGAGCCTAATTTCAGTCACTTAAAAGTCATAGGATGTTTATGCTATTCATCCACATTGCAAGCTCACAGATCCAAATTTGCATCTAGGTCTTCTAAATGCATACTTCTAGGTTATCCATTAGGTTGTAAAGGCTATAAACTTTACAATCTGGAAACTAAGAAAATATTAATTTCCAAGCATGTGATATTCTATGAAAATGTTTTTTCCCTTTAAGCCCAATCCTGATTTACCTGATTCTACCCCCTCTTCAGATACTCCTTACACTGAACCCATGTTTCCTTCTTCATACAGTTATTCCTCCACAACTAGTTCCTGCTACTACTTCCCAACATGTTTCACCTACTACTTCTTCTCCAATAATCAGAAAATCCACTAGAGAAAAGTCTGTGCCTTCTTACTTAAACTAATATCACCATTCTTTACCTTCTTCTCATTCTGTTCAAACATATATCCATACCAAATTGCCTGGTACACCTCATGACATTCATGATTTTATTTTTACTGATCAGCTTTCAAACTATCATAGTTGATTTACAACTTCAATTTCTCAAATTACAGAACCCAAGACTTACAAACAGGCTTTTAAAAACCCTTTATGGCAAGAAGCCATGCTAAAAGAACTTTCATCTTTAGAGAAAACAAATACTTGGGTTCTAACTGATTTACCCAAAAACAAACATTGCATTGGTTGCAAATGGGTTTATAAAGTTAAATATAAATCTGATGGTACAATTGAAAGATACAAGGCTAGATTAGTAGCAAAGGTCTATACCCAAGAGGAGGGTATAAACTACTTTGATACTTTCTCTCCTGTAGCTAAGATTACAACTGTCAGATTATTAATTGCACTTGCATCTATCAAAAATTGGCATCTACATCAATTAGATGTCCACAATGCATTTTTACATGGTGACTTGGAAGAAGAAGTCTATATGACACCCCCACCAGGTTATTCTGTTGATGTCAATAAAGTTTGCAAACTCCAAAAGAGCTTATATGGTTTAAAACAAGCCTCAAGGCAATGGTTTCAAAATTGACATCTTGCTTGCTTGATTTTGGTTACTGTCAGTCCATTGCTGATTGCTCATTATTCACCAAATCTTCTGACTGACAATGACATAATCCTGACTGACAATGACATGTCTGAAATTAATTCTGTGAAATCCCATTTGGATGATTGTTTTACAATCAAAGATTTGGGGCAACTCAAATACATTTTTGGACTAGAGATTGCTCATTCTAAAAAAGGTATCAATGTTTGTCAAAGTAAATATACCTTAGACATTTTGAAAGATACTGGCTACATAGGTTGCAAACCCTCTAACACACCTATGGACAGTACCTTACAACTTACTTCCAACTCTTCTTCTGATTTAATAGATGCAACTCTATACAAAAGATTAGTAGGAAGACTTTTATACTTAACAATTACTAGACTTGATATCTCATTCAGTGTGCATTGCTTAAGCCAATTTATGTCCCAGCCAAGACAGGACCACCTTAATGTTGCATATAAAGTCCTCAGTGCTGGAACACGCTGACAAGGCGGTCCGTCCCACAGATCGATATCGGATACCAAACATGTACATACATGATTTCGAATAACCCTAGGCATGCTCCTAAAGGACGAACAGAGAGTTTATCTTTCTTCGAGGCTTTGATTCGATCTGAGCGATCTTCTAGTCTGTGTCCCGACCACGTTTGGACGCCGGATGGACAACGATCTACCAAACGGTTGAAAAGAGCTGATTGCGTCTTGTTCTTCACTTGAACCCTTCACGTTTTTGTGGTGGCTGAAGACGTGATGTTCTCTTAGGGTTCAAGAACGTAGCAATCCCTCCATTTATAGAGGTCCTTGGGCCAGATTAGGGATCTCTTAGAAGGTATAGGTTTTGGGCTTCCTACGGGCCCAAATTCTTATGTTCAGCCCAGAACACAATTTGTCCCGTAAACATTAATTCATTCCACTAGAGTATTAATATTGCACTCCCGTCCTATCCCAAAATGAATCAGGGCTTCTATTAGACTCGATATAATTCCCCGTGTTTAAGATATCGCACGTCCATTAATTATTAAAGCTTCTGACTGCTTTAATTAAATAATATCTTTTATTCCTTAAGTAGTACCACTCAACCTTATTATCGTACGGATTAAATCCACCTGCAGGGTTTGATACGATAATCCTTATGAGTTCCTTAAGGGGACGTCATCAACCTAGATGTCTAGGACACGGTTCCCTAATGCCAATAAATAGATATCATGCAGATAATGTTGTCACCCAAGATACGGAACATATTGAACCAATGCTTGGTTCTCACCCATGGTAAATCAAAGTAACAAACAAATATCCCACATATCTAAGTATCACAGTTAGGGTTAAGAATTAGTAGAGTCACCGAGACCTTGGTTCTTCATGATAGTCAGAACAGAAGAACGCATCTCAACTGTGATCCATTCAATGCGACGCAGCACAATAGTATAAACCAATAGCCAAGACAATTTACATCCAGTTTATACTACAACCTACACCGATAGTCATGTCCATAACTATTTCAGTTGTGAGTACCATTTATATCTTATAAGGGACCGACAATGTAATCTTCTGTGTGACTACTAACACACCACATTGTCTACAATATAAGATAATTGGACATTTAGCGTACAAGCAATCAAAAAAGAAAGCAACAATGTGAAAACATTTATTTCAGTCAAATGGGAAATCGAATAAATACAATCTAAAAGCTCACATAAAAGTTTGCTTTACAGTATACTCCAACACTCAGGTATGTCAAAACCACAGTTGGAGCAGGTATTTTCTATCCCATAACCTCTAAAATTCAACTTTCTGCATATAGTGATAGTGATTGGGCCGGTTGCATTGAAACAAGGAAGAGCATAACAGGTAATTGTGTCTTCTTAGGCAATTCCTTAATTTCTTGGAAGTCTAAGAAACAAAACACAATTAGTAGGTCCTCTAAGAGGCAAAGTACAGGGCCTTAGCCACTACTACTTGTGAAACACAATGGCTGTTATACCTTCTACATGATTTTAACTGTTCTCATGAATTCCCTGTGTGTATTCTTTCAGAAAGTAAGTCAGCTATTAGCATTGCTCAAAATCCTGTTTTCCATGAAAGAACAAAGCACATCGAGATCGATTGTCACCTCATCCGAGAGAAGATAGCTAAAGGCATCATCAAACTTGAGTTTGTCTCCTCCTCAGATCAGGCTGCAAATCTCTTGACCAAGCCATTATCCACCCAGGCCTTCAAGTCTAATGTCTCCAAGTTGAGCATGATGAACATTCATGCTCCCCTTGCGGGGGGGTTATTAAAATATAGAAGTGCTATTTTACATTTAACACCTTTTTGTAATAGGAGTGTTAACATTTTATGTATTTTAGCATATAGTATAAATAGGTTGCCTCTAGGGTTTCCATATTCACTTTACACATTTTTCTCTTTCTTTCACATTGTGCGCAGACAATCTTTCGTTCTCTCTTTCTCTTCAATAATATTTCTCTTTTGATTTTGTTCTATCGATTGTGATTTACAATTTGTAAATCCAATAGAAGGAGATTGGAAGAGTAGCCATTTCTGGGAGCTTCATGTAAAGAGACTGCCAGTGAATGAAGTGAATGAAAAAAGAAATTGATTGGGTTGGGTCATGGGTGAGTATGGCTCTGGCTATTCTAAATCTTAAAAAATGCATCTTTTAATCATGTTGATTTTACCATACGTTTTTTGTTTTATATCATGGGGTCTTAACATTTTGCTATTTACTTTTGTGATTTAAGAGTTACAACACAATTTCAGTTTTTGCGAAAAATCAACATTCTTGTCGGATTTGTCACGTGACTCACACGTGACGAACTTTGGTCCATTTTCCTCTGACATGACAAACCATCGACGTGGCAAGAAAAAAATTTAAAAAATAATAAAAAAAAAAAGAAAAAAACTCATAGAATATATTTAAAATGTAATCCATTGTGCATTCTTTTGTTCATGGATGTAGGCTAATAGAAGGTTTTCTCGAACTCAGAAGATTAATGAATGAAGTGATACACTAATAATGTTACATCTAAAGACTATCAAATGTTTGAAGGAATATTAGATATGAAATAAAGAGGTTGTCACTACTATCACAGGTATTTTGTACATGGGAGAAAGTTGTCATGGTTGACATATATCTCTCTATTATCTATATGAATGAATGCATATGGCGACACGTGGTGGTTTTTGAATTGAGAAAAATGGCCTTGATGTTATTCATTTTAATCCAACACATGAAAGCTATTATAGTCAATTCAGTATGAAAAATCTGACAACTTTTCATTTTCTTCACGCATGCCTTTTTAGATGACAAACATACCCTAGACTTTTTATATTCAAATGCAAAGCATGAAAGCTATTATAAGCAATTCAATCAAAGAGCTGACAACTTTTTATATCCTTCACTCAAGCTACGGGATATCACTTCGAAAAACCCTCTCAGGAAAAAACAACTTTCTTTTCTAATTGGCCAAAATGAAGGAGAGACGAGCGAGTTTCAATCAACGATCGACGACCCCGCCTCTGCCAGTCAAATCAGAATCATTGTCAGCTTACAAATGCCTAAAATACTCGACAATGAACTTGAGCGCCCGCTGAAGTACCACATCTTCTCCAACGCCGGCGTCGTAGCTGGGGACGGTATATGACATCAAGTTTTTTGTACGAGGTCAGCAACGCAACCAGCCGCCAATCTCGCGCATGTCTTGAAAAAGGCCGACGTGGAGAGGATGATGAAGGAGTAACCCTTCAATCTGGGCGACTTCCCCAACTCGTACTTAACTAAGATGGCTGTCAAGGATGATAACACCATCGGCAGTGGATATCATAAATAAATTGGCAGGTAATTGGGGCATTTGATTTCAGAGTTGCCAATTTTGTGATTCAATGGTTAATTTTTTTTTTCAGGATTCGGCCAATAAGAAGAACCCTAGGGCTCTGGATGTAGACGATATATCTCTCTTGAAGTTTAAAGCTTGAAATTTCTACAGAAAAAAATAAAGATCTTGACGTTTGTAGTTATTTTAAGTGGTTTCTTCGTATTTTCATGTTGAATTGAGATTTTTTGATGGATTATGTAGAATTCTCTATTCTTCTAATGTGGAAGGTTTTATTTACAACCTCAAACTCTTGAAATGAAATTATTCTTGGCCGAAACTTGAGAACAAATGCTTGAGCTTCCGGATAAAATATTTTACCAAGATGGTGGTGTGAGGTTGCATGTCGTGCATAACTAAATTGCACAATGACATTTATGAATGCACATGCTTTTATGTTGATTTATATTATACATGCCTTGATAAGTTGAGTGCTAAACTAATTCATCTTGTTTTATGTAGTACGGATGCTTGTAACAGATATGGAATAAATCGAAGGTTCAGATTGAAGGTTGCAATGTAGTCACCAGGCATAGCTCACGATGTCATGGACAATAAGGTGAAAGTTTCTTAGGTGCCCGATCATTTCAAGGATCTCAGACAAAGATTTCTCAGTTTCCACAAAAAAATACTTGTAAAAAATTTTATGAGTTTCTATGTCAGCAATTCTATCATGCTGTCAATTTACGATTTCTTCTTGTTCTGTTCCCCAACATAATGGTGTTGCTGAGAGGAGAAATCGTACTTAAGAGGATATGGTTAAGAGTATGTTGAGTAATCCAACATTACTGTCTTCTATTCGATGTATACATTAAAGACTGTTGCATATTGGGTAAAGAAGGATCCTAGTAAAGCAGTTCCGAAAACACCTTATGAACTGGGGATGGGTAGAAAACCTAGTTTGAAGCATCTTCATGTTTGGGGGTGTCAAGCAGAAGAAAAAATATATAGTCCACATGAAAAGAAACTTGATCCTTTGATAGTCAACGATTTTTTATTGGCTATCTGGAAAAGTCTAAAGATATAGGTTTCGGTCCTAACCATAGTACGAGAATAGATAATTTCTGACCACGGTTCATTGAAAAATGGTCGAATCAGTAGGAGTTTGGAACCACAAAGTGTGGATGTCAATGAAATTCATGTTGAACTATTCAAACCTGAGAGTCCATAATGGTTGCTATTCTTCTAGTTGCAGTACTGTCATGTAACTTAGATGAGTAGCAAAATGGTCCAAACTCACTTGATAATGAATTGGTCACAGATAGTCGAGAGATTATAGAACTACCTGTGGTTGATGAATCACAAGTCATGAAAAGTGTAAGTTTTGAAAAAGTTGATCAACGCCATGAAAGAAGATTTAAAGTTAATGGATGACAATAAAGTCTGGAATTGAGTAGAGTTACCTAAAGAGTTTAAAAGAGTGGTGTAAACGGTTTTCAAAACAAAATGCAACTCTAAAGGTAATATCGAAAGATATATAATTAGATTTGTTACACCCAAAAGGAAGGCATTGACTACAAGGAAACATTCTCTCCCGATTCAAAGAAAGATTCCTCACGAATTGCAATGACAATGGTGACTCAGTATGATTTTGACCCTTACCATATGGACATAAAGATCATCTTCTAAATGGAATACTAAAAAGGAGATCTACCTGAACTAATTAAAAGTAGGTTAGTGAGTAAGTTGTATAGGCCAGTATATAGACTAAAACAAGCCTCTTGGCAATTGTATCTTAAGTTTAATGATATCATCACTGCTTATGGTTTTGTAAGAATCTTGTAGATCTGTGTATCTACATTAAGTTATGTGGGATTGGGTTTGTTATTTTAGTTTTACATGTTGATGACATAATGATAACTGCTAATAATGTGGACATGTTGCATGAAGTAAAGTATTATCTCTCTATATAATTTTGAAATGAAATGGGTGAAGTGTCTTCTATAATTGGAATAGAAATACTTCAAAATAGATCATAAGGACTAAAAGTTTATCCCATAAAAGTTTTATCCGAGAGTGTTGGAGATATTTAGAATGGATGGTTGTTCTGTAATAATATTTCCAATTTATGAAAGAGACAAATTTAGTTTAAAATAAATGTCCGAAAAGGTGAAATGCAATGAAAAGTGATGGAGAAAATTCTTTATATATAAACGGTTAGGAGTCTTAAGTGAGACGAACTTGTACTGGTTTGATAACATATTTGTTATTGGTACGTTAAACAAATATAAAACTAATCTCTAAATAATTATTTAAATGCTGCAAAGAAATTTCTAAAGTATTTACAAGGCACTACAGAATACATGCTAACTTAAAGAAGATCCAAAATATTTGTTATAATTGGATACTTGGATTCAGACTTTTGTCCATAATGTTTAAAGGAGCAAGATTACAGGAAAGTGGAACAAAGTCCATCAGCGTGCCTTCCACGATTAAGTTTGAGTTTGTGGTATGCTTTGAGGCCACAAATCAAAATTTAGGACTACGATGCTTTATCGTTGGACTTGGAAATGTCGACATCTTGTCCAAGCCGTTAATAAATTATTGTAGTTTTGTAGCAATAATAGTTTAAGAATGACAAGTATTCAAAGGGTCTGAATCACCTAAAATTGAAATACTTGGTTGGAAAAGTAGAATTAAATGAAACATTGTGTCATTTGAGCATTTTAGTAAGAATTGTATGATAGCAGATCCACTAAAGGGTTATTTCTTATGGCCTTTCCAAGGCATATAAAGGAAAATGGGAATAACGAATGGGGCCTTGTTGTACTGTCTGGTACTGAATGTAATCGCTCAATTTAATAATTTTGACACTTATTGAATTCGATTGAAGATGTTTGGTTCTTCACATATAATATCATCATTATGGATATTTAAATTTATAGTATATACATAAAAGTTGGATGGCTTATGGTTATGGTACGAATGGTTTTTTCCATATTAAATTTAAGTTAAATTAGAAATGATTTGTGATACATGGAAGGGATCATGTTCGCTCAAAGATGTGTGATCGCCATGACTCGATTAATTTCTATTTTGATTTTAAAGTTATGAATATACATATTCAATCATAAGTTTGACGAGTGGTGCACGCTTACAGCAGTTCATTGGATTTCGACACTTATATGGTCCAAGTGTGATAATGTAAGAATATTTTATATTCTTTTATTATTGTGGACTATATAATTAGTTGTACCTAATTGAATTATTAGCCGAACTTAATTAAAGTGAAAACATAATTAATGGATTTTTAATATTATAATATTAAAAAATCTAATTTGTGATGTTTAACTCGGGAAATAAGTTAGGTTAGAACATGGGGAACATTTGTAAGATTAAGATTATAGGTCTCCTCCTATATATACTAAATACTTCTCTCTCTCGGCTCGTATGAAATAAAATTCTCAACATCAAGGGTTTTATGAAATGACGAGAGATGCGGAGAAAAACACATCAATGAAAATTAAGGGGAAGAGGATCGTAGATCAAGAAAATATGAAAGAACTAAAAGCTAGACTCTGTAAGTTCTATATGCAATTTAATTTATGCAAAGGTTCATATTATATGAATTGATAGAATTACATGTTTAGAGTTTATTTAATTCCGCCTAATAGTTATGAATATGCTTGTTAAACTAGTGCGTGGCCCGTGCAATGCACGGAAAAACAATATTACGATTGTATTATAAATTAAATATATAAATAACAATAATCATGATTTATGTATTGTTTTTACATTAAACCGGGTTGGACACAGTCCGACTGAATGGACGGAGAACCGATTTATAACCAGTCTAGTTCGCTTGAATAAGATATTTGCTCTTGAATCCGTCAACACCAATCGGTTGGATTTGTAAGATCGATACGATTTTTTGAATAAATTTTGTTATATTTAAAATTATTTTAAATAAAATTACATATTTAAATAAAATAGAGATTTATAAATTATTCATCAATTAGTTTAAACATTTGAATTTATAAATTTTTTAAATATCTAACTAACAAATTTTATTTAAATTTATTACAAAAAGTACTATATATATATATATATATATTTATCTAAGTAACACATTTTATTTAAATTTTTAAAAATAAAATAGAGATTTAAAAATTATTTATCAATTAGTTTAAATATTTAAATTTATAAATTATTTAGATATCTAAGTAACACATTTTATTTAAATTTATTACAAAAAGTACTATATATATATATGTATCTATTAATATGTTTATAAATTAAAATCTGAAAAAACCACCAATGATTTAAAATAGCTTGATCGTTTTGATGACGGTCCAGTTCTGAGAACCTTATATTTAATGTACATTAATAAATATTATAATAAAATATTATTTAATTCACATAAACATTAATAAAATGATATATAAATATTCATAAATCATTAAACATGTTGTCATAAAAGTATTGTTAATGCGATTATTTAAAATTTGGACTACATCACATTCACGTAATAAAATATTTTCAATATAAAATTTATATTTAGGTTTAATAATCGATTTGGTGTGATCGAACTGATTCATAACTTAGTCATCTAGGACCAACCAAGTTGTGTCAAGTTTTTTGACTATTTTAAATATCACCTAAAAGTAAATTCAATCAACCTGGGCAATACTCTAATTCAATCACCTGATTGATCCGAAGAAATTTTCTTATTTTCTTTAAATATATTTAATTATATGAAATAAAAATATTTTATGATTCATATAATAAATGTCTACACCAAAAGATAGTATATTAAGATTATAAATTATATATCTTAAGATGAATTAATTATTTTTACTTTATGCATATTAATTAAAAATAAACATAGTAATTTTTAAAAATTAAGATTAATTGATTGATTATGCAATTTAAATAATATTTTTAGCGTTCATTTTTTTAAGGCACAAATATAAAGACCGAGATTCTAAAACTTTTGTTATATTTTGAATTAAGATTTTATAAATATAGAGACTGAGATTTTAATTTTGTTCGATGTTTCTAAGAAAAAAATAAAAATAAAAACATACACACTTAATAAATCTTAGCCGGATTTTTAAATAATAAAATGAATAATAGCACAAAATTTAAGATAGCATTTAATGCTATATGGTTTTTAAAGAGAAAATAAGAAAAATAATAAAACTTACAATTTATAGGCTGTATTAAATTCTGACCTATTTTGCTACTATTTTTGGTAAATGTTAATTTTTATTATATATATATATATATATATATATATATATTTAGATTGTATACTTAGACTTCAATGCTAATTAGAATAACACAAATGGTGTGGTGATAAACATATTACACGAAGGACTAAAATGTAAATATTACAAAACTGTAAATATCTATCATTATATAAAAAGAATAACCTTTTTACAAATTTAGAAATTTTTTCCCGCCAAAATCATTAAATATATCCTATATATAGTAATTGTTGAACAAATCTGAATAGGCAAAAAAATCGGCTCATTAATTGTGTAAAGATTTGTTTCTCTTTTTCCTGTTTTTTAGTTTATCAAAACCGTTGTTTGACAATAAATATCTGTTTTTCTTTTTCCTATTTTTAGTATAAATCTACACGAGCTTATCTCTTCTGTTAGAAAATCTCATTGCATACGTCTCACGTGTTTAAAAAATCTCATCCCTTATCTATACAAATTTGAAGAAATAAAATAAAAATCAATTCATAATTACTACTAGAAATCAATAATCTTTAAAAGAAAAAAATAAAATAAAATAGAAACAAATTCATAATTACTACTATAAATCCATTATCTACTTTAAGAAGTTAATTTTCATCGATCTAATTACTAATATTTTTACAAATATTATAAGCTAATCATACAAAAAAGTATAATAATAATTTTGAAATGGTGTGTAATCAAATTTTTTTATTCTCTTATACAAAATAATTTTACATTGTTTGAACCCGAATCTTTAATTTATAATTATTAATGATTGTTTATCCTCTTTTTTAATTTATAATTATTTTTTTTTCTTCCTCCTTTTAAATAGGATCAATAGTAATTTTCACTTCCGTCATTGAGTGACTAAAACTCGAGACCTATTTATAATATTGTTAGTTTAATATTATTCCCGTGCATCGCACGGGGTATACACTAGTAAAATCTAACAACATTAGATATTGTTATAGAGTATGACAGGTGATAATATTTGGACAGCCTTTCTTGTGGAGATATTTAGTAAGAAATATAATAATGAACAAGATTTTAAGTTCATGGGGGCAAAGACACATCTCCAACATTGTGCTTTTTTTTTTTTCATATAAATAAATAAAATAGGAAAAACAAATAAAATCAAACGACATGTGATCTGCAGAGTGGGCAAGTATCGTTCTCCTTAAGCCATGCCTTTATGCAAGTAGCATGATACCTATGGCTGCACGCGCTAATGGTTGCTCGTGTCTCGTTTGCTTTATATTCCTCCAGGCAGATGGCGCAACCGCTTGACTCATCCTCTTTCATGTTATTTTCCTTCATATTAGTAAACGTGTCGAAAACTACTTCATCCTCGTTGGCCAGTTGTCGCCGCGCCATTGGATGGGCCATTTGTAACCATTGATCAGTTTGAGAGTATCTATGATCACCGTTGAATATTGGGCATGACATCAAATATTGTTCGATTAATATAATATAAGTGTCATCCCCACAAGAGCGCCAAAAAATATGAGGGCGCCCAAGTCTTCTGGAAATGACGACATTTTTTCATTTGTCAATGGAATTGACTGAATGGCTGAGGTTAGAAATGATTGGGGATGGAAAATATTGATTTCATGTGTTGGGAAATTTAGAATATGATATGTTTGAGAATTACATGATTATGTGCTATAATAATGAAATGCGCTACTTCAAATATTGGGTCAAATTCTGTCAAAATAGGATATTCATTCAACTTATGGATTGATGATTTCCATCGTTGCTCATCCTTTTAGAGATAAAATTCAATACAATACTACTTTCGCCTGCATAGAATCTTTAGACGCAATGAGAAGGCAAAATCGCAGATAATGTCTATCACTGGGTTCGTAGCCACAATAGAAGTAAAAATTTTATAATAGCAATTTAAGACTGTAGTTAAAAAAACTTGTTGGATATTGAGGACAACAGTACTATATTTTGCCTAATTGACCATGAACTCATTCTATATACTATTTATACCATAAAAGATTGTTTAATATAAGTGGACTGTCTGGAAATTTACACCAATTCGGATGAGAAAAGTAAAATGAAAATAACAAGCAAACAATTTTCTTTTAGGAAATACCTATTTTCACCCTCCTATAGAAAATGAATAAATTTTTCACAACGCCAAATAAAAAATTAACTTTTTCATCTCACAAAGTGTGAAATATTCGATAAACTATGTCAGTATAAGGCGAAGATACTTGATATAGTTCGAAATGAAATATGTTATTGTTCGCCTATATTTTTAAAGCTCGACCGCAAGTGTACGGTTTCGCTCGTAGTATGTGGCAAGAAAGGTCGTATCCCAAGAGACCAAATAATTAATATATCAAGTACAAGATTATGATAGTGTCAACTTTATTTAGACGACCGAATATGAGATGGATTAACTAAACTAAGAAAATATAATCAAAAGAAAATAAAGCAACAATAAGGAACTAGCTAGAAAAATACGTAAGAAGATATATAAGAATGATAGATTCTAAGACTTTGGTTTAAATTAATAGTTGGGTTCCTTCAGAAATATCACAACTAAATGTTTCCTTTATCTACCCTATAAGATGATCACAAATTTAGCTTATCGTCCCTCTCGTGATCGATAAAACCTTAGATTAAATCACATATATTAGCGTCTCCACTCAACACATGCAATTCAACTCCAAATAGATTAAAAGATCTAATATCCTCACAACGACCTACTAATCTCTCGATTCAAGCAAGTAAATTGTGTCAAATATTAAAGACCTAATATTGAACTCATCTCTCGAATTATGAATAATATTGTCAAACATGTAAAAGCATTGATCAAGTGCTAAATATGAAACAAGAGCAAAATATTTGAATAGGGTTCAAAAGAAAAACAATCAATTATAATAATTCATCCAAAATCCCAACATATTAATCTACTACCAAGTCTTAGAATCAAATAATCTAGCTACTCATGTTCGAATTCAAATACATAGACATATTAGAAATCGACATGATCAATAAAAGTTCAAAAGGAAAGAAGAAATAAAAACTAGGAATCTCGTCGATCTTTCAATCTTCTTGATTCCTTCGTAGTTGATCTTCCTTTGCCTTCCAATTGCTCCTCTTGTGTGTTCTAGGGCTCCCCTATGGTGTAATCACGTTCCTCCTCTCAAAATAGGGTAAATATGCCTTTTATAATGTCCAAAACCTTCTCCTATTCAAAATAGAAAAGAAATAAAACGCAGTCTGCGCGCGTGACACGGCCATTCTGCCCGTGTCACCGTCCGTGTCGCAGCCCGTGTCAGCTCCCAGGTTACGAATTCTCTCTGTTGAGGTGACACGGCCTCTGACACGGGCATGGTGCCCGTGTCACTGCCCGTGTCACAATCCTGCTTGCTCGTTTTTGTTCGTTTCACTCGTTTCTTCCATTTTCTCATCCGTGCATCAATCTATCATCATCCCGGGGGTCCTAGGTACTCACCATGCGCCTCCAATAGCCACAAGCTCTACAAATATGTGGAACTATCTACTAAACAAGCACGTGTAATACCTTTCCAACATGATATAAAATTATAGCACAATAATGCAATTTATACACTAATAATGCAATGACTAAGCTCTAGATACTCAATAAATATGGTGTAAAATCACACATGAACAAACCCCCAAACTTGAACCATTGATAGTCCCGATCAATGCATCAAACTCCTACCAACACACAAGGAAAAACAATCACACTCTCAAAGTCAATCATACACATTCACAATATGCATCGGGCAAATAACATAACCAAGTTCCGGAATTTTTAAACATAAAGAATGCTTCAACAAAATCATGGTCAATGCGTTAATTCACAAACCTCACCGGATAAGTGTATACTCTTGCTCTCAATAGTGTATAAGGGAATAATCGCTCAAATCAATTCAATGTTGAAAATTTACAATAAGCTTGCAAATCTTCTACTATCTCCACCACTTATTGTGCATGCAATTCATGAATCAAAAAGGACTTTGATTTGGTTGTAATGTAGGCTCTTTGGTTAGGGTAGGAAAAATATGGATAAAGTGACGAAAACTTGAGCATCTAGAACTACAAAACATGAACTTCACCAATTCATCACCTACAAATCATGATCAAGCTCAACATAACTTATCTCATACCCCATTTCAATCAAGACTCGCAAGCCATATATGAAATTCAAGAAATCCAACCAAACCGCCTTTATTTGAGTCAATGCTAAGATATACGACTACATATACTTATACTTTTTTTCTTTTTTTTTTTCAGATTTTTTTCTTTTTTTTTTCTTTTTTTTTTTTTTTTTTAAACAACTCTTTCAACCTCATTCAACTTCCCCCATCAACTTACACTCCCATTCACGTCTTCCCTTTATCCATACCACAAACAATACACTCATCCTCTTCACATAATATAATCCTAAATGCTCAAGTAAGGACAAGGAAAATAATAGATGTAGCTCAATATGTGGCATTCAAATAAAATAGGCAAAGGCTCAAAAGGGTTAACTAGGGAATAAAAATATCATTTGGTAAGCTAAAAGGTCAAAACGGCTCAAACAAAAATATGCCTTAAATCATTTTCACATAAAGCACACACCACGTGGTCTCGATAAAGATACCAATGCAAGTTCTAGAATTTAATCAACAATGAACGATACACTCGACAAAAAAAAATAAGGCTCAAAAGCTCACAAAGGATCATATATTCATGAATTAAAAGCATCAACCAATCATTCAAATTTACCATTCCATCAATTCTCAAATTCCATCACTTAGCACATTATGCCCGAATTATATATCAAAAGCATCAACCAATCATTCAAATTCACCATTCCATCAATTCTCAAATTCCATCACTTAGCACATTATGCCCGAATTATATATCAAATATGCACAAGAAACTCATCAAGGTGGATCAAAGTCAACCAACAACAACTACTTAAATCCTAAGAAAGCAATAAACATGCTAAAGCGATAAAACCTAAAATGCAACTACATGATATGCAAGATAATGCAAGATATCTTGTTATCTTCTCTCTAAATTTCTCAAATCTAAATATCACATCTCCCTCCCAAACTTGAATGAAATTATATGAAGCACAAAAGGGAAGAATAGAATTTCAATAAAAGTAAAATAGAGATTACTTACAAAACATCATTGAAGAGATGACAACTATTAGTATAGATCTCGAAGCATATCCTTCGTCATGTGGATCTCTCCATGTAATATTCTGTAAGGAAGAAAAACAAACTATCAAATAAACAAAAAAATAGAAAATAAATAAAATAAAAAAAATAAAGCAGTAAACATTGGGTTGCCTCCCAATAAGCGCTAAGTTTAACGTCTTCAGCCAGACGCCTATGAAGTTCGATCAAGAGTTCTTCAAATCAATGTTGGACTGTCCATGGACTGAAAAGGTCGCTTCATCTCGTGCAATCAATTCTTCTTTTTCCTCGGTCAGTACTGTCATTCCTCCATTTTTCGGCACCGCTTGCACTCGACTCATCCACTCATTATTAGAAATAGAAAATATAATCCCGAAATCCAACCATTTAAGTACTTCTAACCTCACAACTTCTTTCATAACGGTGTTAAAGCGTCGTTGATTTTGCACAGATAGTCTATAATCTTACTCTAATCTTATTTTATGCATGCAAAGTGATGGACTAATACCTTTAAGATCAGACGTAGATCAACCTATAGTCGACTTATATGTATGCAACACCTTCAACAATCTATCTAATTGCTCAGAAGTTAGAGAAGATGATACAATTACCGGATATGTGCAATTATCACCCAAGTATGCATATGTCAGATGATCTGGCAATGGTTTGAGGTCCATAATCGGTGCGTCGGGCTTTGAAGAACTTGATTCGGCTGAAAAAGGGGTAGACAGTACACCTGACACGACCTCCGACACGGGCCGTGCTTGATGGTCCGGGTCGTGTCGTCGTCCGTGCTCCAAAAGCCGTACCTGGGCACCTGACACGGGCCGTGTCGCCGTCCGTGTTGCATCTGAAAATTTTGAGTTTCTCCCAGGTTTATGACACGGTCACCTGACACAGGCATAATGCCCGTGTCACTGCCCGTGTCAGCTCTGCGCGACTTATCTTCAACTCCGATTTTCACTGTTTTGCTCTCCGAGTTCATCATATCTTCCAACTTGATCACATCACCAGAATCAATAAAGTTAGTATGCATATTATTATCACGAAGTATAGGCTTATGTATTGAAAATAACACATGCTCATCATTAATATGCAAAGTAAGTTCTCCCTTTTTGATGTCAATCAACGCATCTCCCGTTGCTAAAAATGGACGCCCTAGAATCTATGGCACGTCACTATCTTCCTCCATGTCCAATACAACAAAATCAACGGGAAAAATGAAATTATCAATCTTGACATGCACATCCTCAACAATCCCCTTCGAAT